GGTTCACCTGTGTTGTAGCTTATATCAGTACTTCATTCATTTTTACCACTGAATAATATTCCATTTTATGTATATACTGCAATTTGTTTATCCATTCGTCCTTTGATGAATATTTGGGTTGTTTTCACCTTTTGGCTATTGTGAGTAGTGCTGTTTTGAGCATGCATATACATGTATTTTAGTACCTGTTCTCAATTCTTTGGAGAATATGCCTAGGAGCTGTGTCATATGGTAATTCCATGTTTAACTTTTTGAGAAACTGAGAGACTGTTTTCCACAGTGGCTGAACCATTTTTCATTCCCACCAGCAATGAACAAGGGTTTCAATTTCTCCACATCCTCACCAACACTTACATTCCTATTCATTCATATCTGAGTAATCAAGTTGAAATATCTAATCTTGTGCATAAATATTTATCCTATAAGAAGATCTTCTGGGCTTCCCTGGTGGCGCGGTGGTTGGGAGTCCGCCTGCCGATGCAGGGGACTCGGATTCGTGCCCCGGTCTGGGAAGATCCCACATGCTGTGGAGCAGCTGGGCCCGTGAGCCATGGCCGCTGAGCCTGCGCGTCCGGAGCCTGTGCTGCGCAGCGGGAGAGGCCACAACAGTGAGAGGTCCGCGTACCGCAAAAAAAAAAAAAAAAAAAAAAAAGTAGATCTTCTAAGGCGTCAAGAAACCAAAGACCCAGACTATCAGTTTCTAGTGAAGATATGATTAATTTAAAATTAAAGGGGAAAGGATATCTTAAATACTTTAATTGATGATTTACCTGCACTCCAGCTCATTCCAAAACGAATTTGATATGGCTGCAGAGGTACCTACAATGTAGAATTTGCATACTCCTGCATCAGAATATCTGGGGGTGCTTGTTAAAAAATATATGTAGGCTGGCCTCACCAAATTTGAGACATCAGAATCTTAGGGCATTAAAAGGGGCCTACTTCTGGAATCTGCATTTTAAATGTGCTCTCTGAGTGACTTTTACATAAACTGAAATTGAGAACCACTGGTGTAACTAGGCCAAAAATTCTCATTAGTCAAATAAGTAAATGAATCTCACCAGGATTGTCATTTAAAGCATTTGTGATTAAAGGCCTTTTTGCTGTGTCAGGACTCTCTGCTCTGCTGAGAGAGATGAGATTGGCCATTTTCAGTCTGGCATGTTAATGTAATTTAAGATTATCTGTTTTTTCACCTTCTGGGTTTTGCTTAATAGATATTTTGGCATATATTTAGATCACTGATAAATAAATGAAAGCTTTAAGAAGTGTGAGCCTTACATTTTATTGAAATGGTGAGACTTTCATTATAGAACCTGACAATAGACCCAACAGAGTAACTGAGTTCGTGTTTCCATCATTAGAAGTTTTTTCTCTACAAATGCCTTTTAACGTATGCTTCGATTTTTAAATTATTAGGTGTGGAATTTTATCTTTCTTTAGGATGTTGTTTGGTAAATTGGTCACTTCAATGTTTATATCATTTTTTGGGATCGTGGATTTCATTAGAAAATTGTGAAGACTTTACCCACTCCTCCCACCCCCAAATAACTAATGAATATCTTACTGTCCCCCATAGTTTTGAATAAATTTCTGGGGTTACATAGATATAAGATTGAGAATACCAAGATTTTTAAACCTCTTTCTTCTTCTCTACATCTTTAATTTCTTTCTGCAAGTTAAAAAACTTCCCATTAATTTTGTTACAAGTTGGAAACTACAGTAATACCTGATATATGTACAAAACCAGATTCCTAGTCATTTCAGTCACCCAAACTGAAAGAAAGCCAAAAAGGTCTTTCTAATACAGAATAAAAGGTTGAAATGAAGCCCACGTATTTTCTGTGGTAAGAGAGATAGAGATACAACCTTGAGAAATCTTAGGCAGCAAACTAAATGCAGAAGAACACATTGACAAAGATGAAAAAGTGGAATATAACATGAGAGCAAAAGGATAGAAGGGTTTGACTTTAAAATGACAGTGTCTGGGCTTCCCTGGTGGCGCAGTGGTTGAGAGTCCGCCTGCTGATGCAGGGGACACGGGTTCGTGCCCCGGTCCAGGAAGATCCCACATGCCGCGGAGCGGCTGGGCCCGTGAGCCATGGCCGCTGGACCTGCGCGTCCGGAGCCTGTGCTCCGCAATGGGAGAGGCCACAACAGTGAGAGGCCCGTGTACCGCCAAAAAAAAATAAAATAAATGACAGTGTGTTCTCATTTAATGGAAAGACTAAAAACATGATCCCCTTTGGTGGTCCCTAGGTACACTCCTTTTGCAGTAATGAGTATATGTCTGCATACTGAAGACTCTTGCTCATCAAGAAAAGACGGGGTGCTATTGATTATAACATGTTTATGGAAGGTGAAATTCATTTCAGAAAGATTTCCATGAACATACAAGAAATGTTCCATAACCATAAAAAAAATGGATAATGTTAGATTACTAGGACATTTTGCTGATATTAAAAGCTCCAAGATATTGTTCTTTTCTACTAGATTATTTAAGATGCTTGATTCAGTATTTCTGCCTGTTTTGCTTAAGTGATTTTTTGTGAATACGAAGGTTTACAATGCTATTTTTGTCTGTTCACCATTGCGGTAAAATCTTCCTTGCTCTAATAAAAAGGACTAATTTTTGCAAAGGTAACTGTCATTGTTGAGATGTGTTTTTTAGCAGCTACGTCTCTGGTGACCCAAGGAACACATTTGCAAGGTGACTGACAGGGTTAGTGATGCTCCTTGTGGTCAGAAGTAGAGAGACACTTAGAATGTAAATGAGACACAGATCTCCATTAAAAATAATAATAATCTCGTAAAGTGTCAGGCACTTTTTTTTTTTTTACCTCTATGCGTGTGGGATACTAAGGGAGTACTGTTGATTCTCTTCTGGCTTCACAAAGAAAGTCACAAATATTTATACTTTTCAGAAAACAAAGATGTAAATTTAAGCAATATTACCAGGGCAGTATGTTACAGAGTGTGACAGTGGAATGAAGTATGATAATTGGAATCAGAGACTTTGAGGAGGTTCAAAATTATTTTCACAAAGTATAGCAATGCTCTCTAAAATCTGGGTATTTTACAGAACTCGTTTGTTAGAAATTAGATTTGCAAGAGCAATTTTTTCATGACTTATTTAGTTTGTAACAGGAAGTTTATACCTTTTGATCCCCTTCACCCATTTCACCCACCCCCCTCCCTTGCCTCTGGCAACCACCAATCTATTCACTTTATCTATGGGGTTGGTGGTTTTTTTAAGATTCCACATATAAATGAGATCATACAGTTATATGGTGTTTGTCTTTCTCTGTCTGACTTCTTTTACTTAGCATATTGCCCTCAAGGTCCATCCATGTTTTAAATGGCAAGATTTCCTTTGTTTTAATGGCTGCGTAATATTTCTGTATGTATGTGTGTGTGTGTGTGTGTGTGTGTGTGTGTGTGTGTGTATGTAAAATATCTTCTTTATCCGTTTATCTATCAATGGACACTTAGGTTATTTCCATATCTTAGCTATTGTTAATAATGCTGCAATGAACATGGCGGGGGTACATGTATCTTTTCTGAGCTCGTGTTTTTATTTTCTTTGGATAAATCCTCAGAAGTGGAATTGCTGGATCATATGAGAGTTCTATTTTTAATTTTTAAAAGAATCTCCATACTGTTTTCCATAGTGTATGAGAGCAATTTTATGATGCTGAAGAGATTTACTTTTCTGCTAACACAGGGGAAACAGGAGATACATCAGTACAAAGACTTCTACATGAATGTTTATAGTAGCTTTAGTTGCGTTAGCCAAACCCAAATATCCTTCAGTAGTTGAATAGAAAACAAACTGTGGTATATCCATACAATGGAGTACTACTCTGCAGAAAAAAGGAAAAGCCATTGATGATGCAGCAACATGGATGAATCAAATGATTTCAAATTATTATATTGAGTGAACAAAGTCAGGCAAGAATGAGTTTATACTGTGTAGTTCAATTTATATTAAATTCCAGAAAATACAAACTAAACCAGTGAAAGAAAGATCACTGACTGCCTGGGTGAGGGAAGAGAAAAGGGAGGGAGGAATTACAAAGAAGAACTAGAAAACTTTTGGAGGTGATGATTTCTTTACTATGTTGATTAAGGCAATGACTTCAAAGGAGTATACATATATCAAAACTTACAGATTGGACACTTTATGTGTGTACAGTTTATTGTATGTTAATTACATGTCAATTAAGATTGTTAAAAAGAAAAATCAACACAAATCACTCCCTTGCATACATCCTCTCCTCCCTTGTTCATTCTCTCCTGAGGCACCACCTTGGCAAACCACAACATATGCTAGGTGTGGTTGGCAAAAAATAAACGACACTGACTAATAACACTTTAAAAGAACTTGTTAGGCATAGACTACAAAAACAGTCTTTTGTTCAAAAATTGTATCTATGTATAATTTTAGAAAAACGTTTGGATGATTAGAAACCAAAAAAATTAAGCAGTGGCTGTTTCCTAGTAGATTACACATGATTTTTATTTTCTTTACATTTTACCGTATGAGTGAATTTTTTTTTTTTTTTTTTTTTGTGGTACGCGGGCTTCTCACTGTTGTGGCCTCTCCCGTTGCGGAGCACAGGCTCTGGACACGCAGGCCCAGTGGCCATGGCTCACAGGCCCAACTGCTCCGTGGCATGTGGGATCTTCCCCGACCAGGGCATGAACCTGTGTCCCCTGCATCGGCAGGCGGACTCTAAACCACTGTGCCACCAGGGAAGCCCCTGTATGAGTGAATTTTTCACAAGGAGTAGTGATTTCTTTTAGAATCATTAAAGCTAAAAAAATCTCCTTTCATTTTTAAATATTAGACGGTCTTCTCTACAGGATGTGTTTGCTAAGGCCATGCACTGGGCTATGTAAACAAGAGGGCGCAGAGGCTGCTTTGGAGCACCGAGGGCACCCGTGTGTGTTTCAGCTGGTCTGACCTCTTTCCCCACCATTTTCCCTCCTACCTGTAGCTAGAAGATGAAATTACAACATTACGACAAGTTTTATCAGCGAAAGAAAGGCGTCTGGTTGAGATAAAACAAAAACTCGGCATGAACTTGATGAATGAATTAAAACAGAACTTCAGCAGAAGCTGGCATGACGTGCAGACTACTACTGCGTAAGTATACGTTTTTCTTAAAAAAAAAATCACTCAGCCTGCTGTCTTGCCTCTTCAGTTTTTGTTCCCATGAGGCTGATCTCATACTGGTGGCTAGGGAAAAATATTTTCTCCAGAAGTATAATAAGGAAATACGAATAATCATTAATATGTTGCATGATGCAGACTCTATAAAAGTAGCTTCATGAAATAAAACTTTGTTCACGGGCTTCCTTGGTGGCGCAGTGGTTGAGAGTCCGCCTGTTGATGCAGGGGACACGGTTTCGTGCCCCAGTCCGGGAAGATCCCACATGCCATGGAGTGGCTGGGCCCGTGAGCCATGGCCGCTGAGCCTGCACATCTGGAGCCTGTGCTCCGCAATGGGAGAGGCCACAACAGTGAGAGGCCCGTGTACTGCAAAAAAGAAAAACTTTGTTCACCAACACTCTGTTTTCACTTAGACTACTTTTATGAAGTTGTACAGTTTAACGTTCTTTCTCTTCATTTTATATATATATATATTTTTTTTAACATTTGTTAAATATATACTTTTTCCTTATGTTTTCTCATAAAATTCTAAATCCTCAGAATACTTGGCATTCACTGCATATTTTGAGTTACTATCAAAAATGGTTGACAGCTTTAAAAACTGTAGAGACTTTTTGTCCATTTACATGAAAAGAAAAGCTTGTACCTCTCATGTTTGGGGGTGTGCTTTTATCCCCACTACTCTAGGGAATGTTAGAACTGGTTTAAGGCCACATGAAATAATAGAATATATTGGTTTCTGCCCCTGGTTTCTGGCACAGAGCTCCCAAAACCCTTATAATTTCCTATACCAGGAGCATCTTTTGTTCTAACATTTGCATTTTGACCCTGGTTCCTGACACAGAGTTCCCAGATCCCTTGGAATTTCCTGGGTGATAGCAGTATCCCGGGTTCTAATGAGGTGACTCTTGGTGGACTTCTGGATGAGGGCTGGTCACCAGAAAGACCAAGCCATGATTAGAAGCTTGGAACCGTCAGTCCCACACCCCCGTTCTCTAGAGAGGGAAAAGGAGCTGGAAGTGATCTATCATGCCTACATGATGAAGCCTCCATAGAAATCTCAAAAATATGGGGTTTGGAGAGCTTTAGGGTTGCTGAACACATGGAGGTGCCGGGAGGGTGGCGTGCCAGGAGAGAGAATCGAAGCTCGGTACCCATCCCCACATGCCTCTTCCATCTGGTTGTACATCTGTATCTTTTATCATATCATTTTTATAATAAATCGGTAACCTAGTAAGAAACCTGTTTTCCTGAGTTCTGTGAGGCACTCTAGCAAATTAATTGAACTCAAGGAGGAGGTTGTGGGAACCTCTGATTTATAGCCCACTGGTCAGAAGCACTGGTGATAATCTGGATTTGCGATTGGCATCTGGAGTGAGGTGAGTGGGGGGCAGTCTTGTGGGGCTGCGCCCTTAACCTGTGGGATCTGACTCGATCTCCAGGTAGATGGTGTCAGAATTGAGTTAAATTGTAGGACGCCCAGCTGGTGTCACAGAATTGCTTGGTGTGTGGAAACGCCCCCCCATAGCTGATGTCAGAAGTATTGTGAGTCTGATAGTAATGTGAGAGTAAAGGAGAAACACAGGAGAAGCAAGTTTTTCTTACTTAGACGAACAGAAATGTTTTTCAGCTGTGCCATTATCTTCCTGTCTGATGTTAGGCAAGGTACAGAATAGGTGTGGGTATTCTACAATCATGCTTTCATGGGGTTACTTTTTAAATTATGTGAAATATTTAACTATTGTGGTACTTCTCTAATGATTTAAAATATTTTGCTTGCTGGGGGTCTTGTGCCAAAGCGAAGAAGATGACCACATCATAATGCAATTGTTCTTCCTTTTGTGTGTTGGGAGCTGGGGGCCGATGGAGAAACCACAGAGGCTTCCTATCCCTTGACCCCAGATTCCACTATCAAGAAAGTTTTGTCTTTGTGTTATGCATTTTCTTCCCTAGTATTCCTCCTTGGAAGGTAAAGATATTACATTGCTAGTATCTTAAGTGGGGAACAATATTCCCTTTGCTGGTACTTTTCTCCCAGGCATAGAGGGGCCTGGTAGTAAGACAAGGTACCCATGATAGACAGCAATTATTTCAGTTTGGCTGGGGCCCAACTTTGCCTGCTGGTTACTAAGAACTAAGATCTAAGACCTTAGTGAAGATGCCCTTTGCATGAGGAGTTAGATCTAAGAGGAGCCTGACGTCTCCACACTGTGGTTCCCTTAGTGTCCATGTAAAGGGGAATATTCTCTCCAGCTCTAAGAGCCTAGCAATTCTATCTGCATCTGTGCATGTGCATCCCATGGGCTCATCCAGAAAGGGTCAGGACACAGTCCAGAGTAGGGCAGGATGGAGCCAGGGAGCCCATCAGTGTCCAGAGGTTAACCAACCTTCCCCAACCTGATGATTATGGAAGAAGATAAGAAACTACACACAGATGTTTATCAATTTAAAATATATATATCGGGCTTCTCTGGTGGCGCAGTGGTTGAGAGTCCGCCTGCTGATACAGGGGACACGTGTTCGTGCCCCAGTCTGGGAAGATCCCACATGCCGCGGAGCGGCTGGGCCCGTGAGCCATGGCCGCTGAGCCTGCGCGTCCGGAGCCTATGCTCCGCAACGGGAGAGGCTACAGCAGTGAGAGGCCCGCGTACCACAAAAAAAAAAATATATATATATATATATATATATATATATATATATATATATATATATATCCAACACCATATGAACAATCTCTTGAAAATTCGGCACTAAATTAAATGAGCTTATGTGTCAGTAGTTTTGCTTTTTGTCTTTGCACTTTGGTGGCCTATACCAATTAATGGCCCTGATAGGGTGAGGCTGAGCCATCTCTAATTCCCGGGGTCTGGTGGCCTCTGTATTTAATCCAGGTCTGGGGTTTCTTGTCACTTGATCTGAACTTCCTTCTGGGGTGTCAGAACCAGGCAGGATCTTTCTGCTTGGCCTCCCTGATCACACTGCAAGGGTAAGAGAACCCAATGGAGGGAGGGCAATTCGGGCTCTTCTGTTGCTGAGAGGAGGGAGGGAGCAGCGAATATCTGAGCAGAGGCTGTGGCCAGTTTGTTCTGGGTCTGCTAGGGCAGGCGGCGGGGGGAGTGAGGGGAATGGGTCATGGTTTCCTGAGACATGGAATTAGAGCAGGCAAGTTCAAGGAAGGCTTGTAGCCTCTTTGCACACTGGAGAATATATAGCTTCTGGTTTTCCCATGTTTGAAAAAACCAATTGGTTTTATAGTCAGGCAGTACACTTAGTATCAAGCTTTTTGTTGAGTGAGTAGAACAGAGTTATTCCCTGGGGTTATCGAGTTTAAAGTCGTGGTCAGGAAAACAGAGTTTTGTTTTTGTTTATTTTACAAGTTATTACAAGTAACTGGTTAAAAGCTAAGCGTGACAGGGTTGTAACGGCAAATCCAGGGTATTGTAGGGGATGTAAAGCAGGGGATGGAACCTTGCCTGGGGTCTCAGGGAAGCTTTTTTGAGTAAGATGTTTAAGCAGACTCTGGAGGATGATTTGGAGTTTAATCTGGCCACAGGGGGCAGGAGGAACGTCCTGGGGGACGCACAGGCACAGCCTGGTCGAGGCTGGCAGAGAAGGCTCCTTCTCCTAAGGAAAATCCATCCAATTACTTAGTCTTGTTGAGATGGTGGGGAGAAGGGGCCGGGCTTGTGGCATCTGTTTATAACAGTTATTCTCTATCCACAGGCAATAGAAAGCTGTTAGGGGGCTCCTAACAGCTTTCTATTGCCTGTGGATAAAGAATAACAAGTGTTAGTGAGTGTCTGCTGTTAGGCATTATTACCCAGGGGCTAATCTAAGCCCTCAGGATACAGGATTCAACAAGATGGACAAAGTTCCTAATCTCTATGAATGTTGAAAGGGAAAAGGGCAGGAAACAAGCAGCAAACAAATGAGGATCTGTCGGGACGCTATGATGAAGACAGCATAGGTTGAGGTACTAGAGAGTGACCTGCCGGAGAGGGTGGAAGCTGCTTTGATGGGTCCCTGACAGGGAAATCCTGTCCTGGGAGGTTTCTTTGAGCTGAGACCTGAATGACAGAAAGACATGATCTTGTGAGGATCTGGGGAAGAGCTTTCAGGCTGAGGAAAAAATTGCCACAAGGACACTGAGGCAAGACCTAGCTTTACAGGTTTCAGGAAGCAGAGGAAAGGGCTGTGTCTGGAGTGTAATGAGAGGAGCTTGAGGTTAGAGCCTCTGGGGCCTCCCAGGCCAAGGGGAGGAGTGAGGATTTTATTCCAAGAGCTTTGGATGCAGTTGGGGAATTTGCAACAGGAAGTGACTTGTTCTAATTCACCTTTTAAAAAGAACATTCTGGTTAGTTTTTGTAATATAGATTGTGAAGAGGCAGGAATGGAAACCAGAAAATCATTTATAAGACTGTTGCAGTGGCCCAGGTTGTCATGATGGAGAGTCATGAGCAGAGAGGGGACAGGATCTGGAGGTCGACCCAGTGGGACTTCCCAGTGGTTTGGATGTGGGGGGTTGAGGGAAATAGAGGGATCAAATGTGACCTTAGGTCTCTGACTTGGGCTACTGAGTGAATACTGAGACTGGTTACAGCAATGGGGATTTAGCATTGTAGTTAAGCTGGTGGGCTGTGGACTCCAACCAATTGCCCGGTTTGAAATCTAGGTCCCCTGCCTCCATGAAATGAGATCGTATTAGTACCTATCGTAGGTAGTGAGGATTCAATGAGTGCAGAACAGTGTCTGACACTTTGTAGGCCTGTTTGCTCTTCTAGGAAACAGGTCTGGTGAGGACACCCAAGAATTCTGCTTTGGCTGTGCGCAGTCTGAGATGTCCAGTAGATAAACAAGTTTATATATTGAGAGGGCAACTCGGAGGAAAAGTCAGGGATGGAAATGGACATTTGAGAGTCATCTACGTATTGATGCATTGAAAGCTGCAGACCTAGATGAGATTTCCTCAGAGA